CCAGAAGAAATGAGTCTCCCTAACGTGATGTACATCATTCCCATGAATGATCATATTGCGTATACGTTGCTCTACAAATATTCTATTTTTCATGTTTAAATTCTTTTCAACAGGGGTACCTGGGTGGCTCTTGATATCAGCTGAGGTCATGACCCCAGGTTCATGGGATGGAGCCCCATGTCGGGCTCCATGCTGAGTGTAGAGCCTGTTTTAAGATTCTCTCTCTCTCTCTTCCTCTGCCCCTCTCCCCACTCATACACCCTCTCTTTCTCTAAAATAAAATTTAATAAAATAAATTATTTTTGATAAAATAGCATCATATAGTGCATATCATTTTGTAATCTTATTTTTCTCAACATTACATTTTTGAGAATTCTTCATGTCCATACATGTATAACTGGCTCGTTTGTTATAACTGCTATATAATATTCATTCTGATGTGAATAAACAGCCTTTCCGTTCCTCTACTGGTGGACATTTAGGGTCTTTCCACTTTTTTCTAGGATAAACAGTGCTGCCGTGAACAACCTCATGTATGACTCTTTGGGCATAGTTACCTTTTCAACTTTATTTAGTTTGGCAAATTATTTAAATAATGTGATCATACTAATTTGCATTCTCACTAGCAAGCGTCCCATATTCCTAAATACTCAAACACACTTAAAATTAATAATGTTATTATTTTTGCCAATAATATGAGTGTAAAATGTTATCTCATTATTACTTCTTTTGCATTTTCCTTATTTCCAATAAGGTTGAATACCTTTTTATATGTTTATAGGCTATTTGGATTTTTATTGCTGTGAATGAAATATCCTTTGATTATTTTATATTTCTTATATTTTTGTCTTTTTCTTACTGCTTCATTGGTATTCTGTACATACTCTGAATACTAGATCCTTTATCCAACAAATTGTCTATAATCACATTTACCAGCCTGTTCATTTATTGCTTCCATAAACTACTTCTTATGCTTATGAGTTAAACTCTTGCTACATAAAGTGTGATCCATGGACCAGGAGCGTCAGCATTAGCTGGGAATTTGTTAAAATTGCAGATTCCTGAGGCCCACCCACAATCTGCTAAATCAGAAACTGCATTTTAACAAGACTACTGGATGATTTGTATGTGCATTAAAGATTTTAAAATAGCAGATTAAATGATTAAGAAAAGTGTAAATTTTCTTCCCTGAGTAATAGGATAGTCGTCCCCACCTGCCTTCTGCTGCTTTTCTATAAATCAAATTCCCTGGCTTTGGACCCAAATGTCCTCAGTTAATATATCCTGGAGCTGCACCACAAAATTTCAGCAAAGAAGCTATTAGAATCTGATTTGTAAATGTGGATGTTTATGGGATTTCAGAGTGGGGTTTTCAAAGTGGAGATACACCTGTTTATCTGAGTCCAAAGAAAGAAACAGTGGTGGCAACTACATTGTTATACAACTCAAAATGCAAGCCTTGGAAGTTTCATTGAGTGCCCCCAAGAAAGGAACTGGTTCCGCGAGGAAGCGTGATCTGTCAACTGTCTTCCTTGTTTGTACATGCCTCTATTTTTAAGTTGACACAAAATGCTCCACAAATGAAAAACAACTAAAATTAATAGGGGAAATCCGAGAGTTGTGCAGATTGTCAGACGTGCGATGACTCCCGTATACCTACATGATTTCCTGAGGCTAGCCACCTAGGAAGGGGCGCTGAAAAGAGCACGGGACTGTAGCCAAGAGTCAGAAAGTTATACCTTAGAACTCCCTGCCTTCTCCAACACGAGGGAGGTGATTCCACAGAAACCACCGGCCTATAGGGATATGGCAGAGATATTTACCACTCCCTGAATGTCTCAGGTGCTCCCACATTTCCCCGCCTGCCTGCAGTTCACAGGGGCACAGCTCATGGGATCAGGCCAATGGGTTGTAAGAAGCCCAAACGTGTCACCTGTTGCCTGAAACATTTCATTTCCTGCTTCCTCTCTCTCTTGACCTGCTATGGCAACCAAAGAGGTCAGGAGTCAAAATGGTGCCTTTGTAAGGTTGTTGAACCTCCGTCAGTTGTCCTGGCCCCTGAGTGATCAGTGAAAGACGATCCTCCCAGTGAGCCACGTTGGACATGTAGCATGAGTGAGGAAAAAACATTTTTGTTCGTGTTAAGCCACTGAGATTTGAGTGTTTCTTACAATGCAGCATAGCCTGGGTTATGCTGATACAGGGAGCATAGATGACTCTGCCTTATTAATAACAGCTAACATTGCTGAGTGTTACTTTCTAGTCCAGGCACCGTAGTATAAGTTCTATGTGCATTATCTAGTATCTCACAATAACCTTCGGAGATAGAGAATAGTATTATCATATATTATATGACGTATGTGATATGTACCTATACCATATGTATCAGTTTTATATAGATATAATCTACTATATGTGTGTGTGTATGTATGTACATATCAGTGGTATATTGTACAAGGAGGCTTTCTTCCTTTCCTCTTGTTATGCTAAACGTACTGTCTCTCCTTCTAGCTAAGACTAGTCCCTTCACATGAGATCTGGATGCTATCTCTTCCTTATATTATTGGTTATTCTTTCACTCTCTTGAACCTGTGTTTTCTGTCCTATTCTGTTTGCCCCTCAGTATTCTCAAGTCTCCCCAAACTTATCAGAATCCCTCCATCTACCCCCCTTCCTCCTCCTCCAAATACTATCTCCTGTCCCCTCCTATTCCATCTCAATCTCCTGTGTCTAAAGTGTTCACCCTCACTTGTTTCTTTCAGCTTCTCCCACTCTCAACTCCAGTATTATTTCTTCCTCCATCACTCTACCAAACACCTCTTTTCAGCACTACTGGTGATCCCTGCATTGCGAAATTCAGTGGGCAGCTTTCACCTTACCTCATTTCTGAGCGTCACGTGACAACTGACCACACCCCTCCTGTTGAAACCCTATTCTGTCCAGCTCTCCCTCCGTGGTTTCTCTCTTTTTTGGCTTCATCGTCTCTTGCTGGGCCATTAAATATTGGCCTTCATCACAACTCATCCTAGCCTCTCTTTTCTTTCCTTCTATAGTCATCATATAGCCAGTCTTTTATAGTCACTTTTATAGCCAGTCTTTCACCTAGAAGTCTTTCCCAAGGCTTCCTAGACCCAGGCACCCCCAAATATGTGCCTCTATCTGGGACTCCTACTTGCCAATTGGCTGCTCAGCTCGGCACCTCCAGTTGGATGGATGCCTTAGTGTGCTCAAGGCTGAACCATACTGTTCCCTCCGCCCCACCTACTTTACTCCACCCTTCCTTTTCTTTCCTCAGTGTTCCCCATCTTGGTGAATGGCACCACCCTTCCCCTATTTGCTTATGTTGGAAACCCTGGAGTAGAGCTACATCAATACCTTCTGGAATGCTCAGGCAGCAATATGTGCTTTCTCTTTTTGAAATTAAAAAAAAAAAACTAAAGCATATCATAACTAAAGTAAGTGTTTAGAAGTTCTTATTTTCCCATAGTGACTATTATGATGCTTTCGTAAGGAATATTAACCTTTTCCCAAAATAATTTAGGGCCCTTTGCTGTTGTTGTAAGAGCTATTTGGTAGCCCTGCACCGCCTAAGAGTCAATAGTCAGACACCATTCCCTGTTGGTTCTGCCTCCTAAGATATTTTCAAATCTGCCTGCTCCAAATTTGTCAGAACACCATATGCCAAGCCATGGTGACTGTTATCTGCACTAGCCTCTGAACCCTCCTTCTTGCTCCAATTTACTCCCCACAGATCAGCCAGGTAGAGTGATCCCAGGAATACACATGGCTGACCCTGTCACTCCACTGCTTAAAACCCCTCAGTGGCTTCCCATTGTCCTTAGGATAAAATCTCAGATCCTTAACAGGCCCAAGACCCTGCCACTTCGCCATGAGCCAGTGATATCTCTTTGAGCTCCTAGAAAGGGCTACACTTTTTATGAGTCCTTGCCCACAATTTACTTTCTTCCCAGAGCTGTCTCACCTCTCCCTGCTTCTCCTTCTTCAGTTCTTAGATTTAATGATGTTTCTTTAGAGAAGCATTTCTTAACCTCTCACACCAGGTCAATGCTCCCCCTTAAACACTTTCTTGGTAACTCCCGCTTGATTGTTTGTGTATTGCATAGTTTAAGCTCTCCTTCCCATTTTAATCAGACTCCCTGAGAAAGCCAATAACATGCTCTAGTACACACAAGATCCCTGAATCCAGCTTTGTTTATTTCTAGAGTCCGTGGCCACAACTACCACATGTGCATACATTTACTCCTCCTGGAGGATGGCTTTGTGCCTCTTTGTTTTATGATGAATGGGAAACTAAAGTTAGTAGAAAAATACAACATTTCTGGATGAATTCTAAAGCAATGATGTGCTGCTGTTGGCGAATCTCTTTGTGGATTTTCTGTCAGTAGCAGATTGCACACCTCAGCCATCTTCTGTGGAAGGACAGAAGGGAACACTCAAAGGACAGGTTGGGCAGGCTAAGCTAGACCCTAGCTCTCCCCTATTGTATGACCTCCACATCCATAAAAGGGAGTAACATTAACTACCTTACAGGACTGCAGTAAGGCTCATTTATTCAATAAAGATTTAATGAGCATCTAGTATATGCAAGGTCTCGATTTATATGCTGGGGATACAAATGCCTTTTGTGGATATTTAACATAGTGCCTATTTCATTTACAGTTATAGATGGTCACTTATTACTAGTATTATTACATTTGTGTGTCGACGTTTGCCTGTGTCACACAGCCTGAGTGAGACAGCAGGTGATATTTGTGACGTCTGTCACTACCTTTAGGAGGACCCCGCAGGGCCTGGATCTCCACATCCTCACTGAACGGCGTGGCCGCCCCTCCCCTCCTGGCCACCAGAGGGCGCGCGGCCTCTACCGCCCCGCCCGCAGCGTTTGCGCCTGCGCCTGCGCCGCGCCGGGCGCCCGGCCTCCGCCCCCCTTTCCCAATGGCCGTCCCGCCTCGCGACCCAAAGTTCCGCCTCCGTTGCCCCTAGCGGCTGTTTGTTGACTTCCGGGAACGCGGCAGTTGCCGATGTCCGGGGTGTCGCTATGGGGACCCGGGGGGCTTCCGCAGCCCGCGTCGGGGCTGAGAAGCTGCCATAGACCCCGCGGAGTCGCCCCCGCCACCTTCCCGGTTCGGGCGCAGGCTTCCCGCACCTCCTTCGGCATGGGGGAATCCGAGGAGGTGGTACCCGGTGAGTCGCGTCCGCGGTGGTGGCGGCGGGCCGGGAGGGAGGGTCCGCGGGCGGGCGGGCGGCCAGGTCCCGCCTCCGGGCCGCCCCGTTGGGGGAAAGGCCCGGGCGGCGGCCGCGGGACTGGGTCCTGAGCTCAGGCCGTGCCCGGGCGCAAGACTGAGAGGAGCAGAAAGGAAGGGGGGAGCACGGGGAAGCGGTATTTGTGTTTCTTCTTTCTTTTAGAAGAAGCTTTCGATGAGTTTCTCGAAGGCAGGGGCGGTTTTTACCTCCCAATAAACTTCCCAAAGTACCTCCTTCGAGGTCTCCAGGACGTAGTTGTGTATTGAATGCAGTAAAGAGTGGGTGACCAGGGGGTCGGGTGTGGGGTATAAAAGCTGTTAGCGAGTGCTCGGTGAAGACTATTTCCCTCAGTTACAGAAATAACGTTTGACATTGTGACCCTGTACCATATGTATAGCGTAGCAGAAACAGACGTTTCATGAAGTAGTGCTTATTCTAAGCACTTGGTCTGCACTTGGATCTTTTCTATAGTACATCCCTTTAAAAATGCTAATCGTGACCTACTAAATTGATTTTCTGACCCACTAACGGCTCAAGAACAAGAGTTTAAAATAACACTGGATTGCAGCAGAATCAAGCATTCACTGAAATAAATAAATATGTATTGTGTTTTCTGCCATGCTCTTGGCTGTGACATGATTAGATTTCTGACCTCCTGGACTTCACAGCCTAGTGAGAGATACTAGAAAGTAAGCAAAATGACAATACCATTTCACAGTAAAAACCAGTGGACACAGCACAGCCACCAAACCCTGTCTTGTGGTGAGGGGATCAGGGCGGCTATCTGGAAGGCCAGAATAGGACAAAACAGTTAAAATTATTCATTCTAGGAAAACCCAGAGCCTGTTCTAGAACCTGGCCTCTCACATCTCAATTATCAGTTTGAACTGACACGCCTCACAGTTCTCAAAAGATTTCTTATAGTGCCTGGTCTTTTGTATATTATTATTTATTATTAATACTTATGTTTGCTATGTTTTACTTTTTGGTACCCATTAGTTTCTTTCTGTGTGATTGTTCTTGAGATTTCCTCAGAATCTGGATCTGGCCTATCTGGGTGTGTGTGTATGTGTTTAAATGGTTACTGGGAACTAGTAGAGATTTTTGGTCTCTCTCCAAAATGGTACTGAACCAAAGTAGTCTGTGAATACTACACAGATCGGGTAGTGTTCATTCATTGAGAGCGTTAAATCTCAACGTACTGTATTGACAGGATGCTGATGATGAAACAATACTGTCCTGTTCCCACGTGTGGAGAAAAGCCTTCACTGAGGGGCTGGACCATGAGGTGTTAACCAGGGTTAACAGCAGGGGTTGTATCAGCTCATTCCAGGGAGCAGATGGTCCACCTGGGGACAACAGGACTTTTAGTAACGGAGGACTGCCTTATTTATTTATTTATTTTACACCCGTAAATGAATAATACATATACAATTTAGCAGATTTCATAAATAAAAGTCGAATCAAGTCTGAGGAATAAGACTGAAGTAAGGTAGAAAGAGAACATAAACAGGGCTGGAGTGGAAGCAAAGCGGACAGGAGACAGGGAATCGGTATAGACAAATTACCGAAAATGTCTCTTAATAACAGGCCGCAGAGTGAAAGTTGTAAAATAGAAACTGTCGTATGTTTTTGCAGATTCAGGTGCTGTGTTTACTTTTGGAAAAACTAGCTTTGCCGAAAACATTCCCAGCAAATTCTGGTTTAAAAATGATATACCTACAGTTCTTTCCTGTGGAGATGAACATACTGCAGTTGTTACAGGTTAGTATTGAAATCCTAAAAGAGGATAGTAAGGCTTAGAGCATCCTGAATCTTAAGAGATGTGCTGTGTTTGAAACATCTTGGATATATACTCTGCTTTACCAGAAATGTGATTTTTCTTTCTTTTACCAGAGAATTCTTGACAATTTGATTCATCAAGAGAGTGTTTTCAATTTTAAATTCCCTGAGTATATTTAATTATGATTTTCTATGCACACTACTTTCTTGGAATATATTTATTTTACTGTATCTATATAATCAAAAGTGATTACTGTATAATCTTAGACACTTTTTACACCTAACAGAATCTGTAGATGGACAGTTAAAATAATTTGCTTTAACCTGGGCAAGGTAACCGGTTTCAATATGGAAAAGCAATACAACTCTTAAGTATAGCTTTTTTTATTGCTTTGCGATGACTTCATCTCTCATCACTTTATGTTGAAAATGTTTCACTTTCTTGTGTCTTTTTCCTTCCCACCAGGAAATAATAAACTTTACATGTTTGGCAGTAACAACTGGGGCCAGTTAGGATTAGGATCGAAGTCACCTGTTAGCAAGCCAACGTGTGTCAAAGGTTTGGGGTCTTTTCTTCTTTATTGCTTGAAATACTTAAACTGCATACAATACTTTTATGCTGATTGTAATGTTCTTTAATATCATATTAAAAATAAAAACCTTTAGTTCTTTTATTCTCTAATATTTACTTGGCTGTTATTGGTGTTTAACTTTATTTTTTATGTGATATTCGGAACTACTTTTATATGTTAGGGTCTAAACATCACATTGATTTTAAGCCCAAAGACCACAAAGGAAGTGATGATTCTTCAGTATTGCCCTTGAATATCCTTTTATTTTGCCTGTTTGTAAACCTACTTAAATATCACTGTTATTATGTATACAAAGAACAACCAATACAATATATTAGAATTTTGAGCTCTGTCTCATTTGTTACAAGTTGTGGACATCATGGTTTTATGTGATTGCTGGTTTTAGAAGTTCTACTTTACCCTGCGGTATATAGTGAGTAGATGTACTGAGTGAGACATTGGGACTAGGGGTTGGTTAATACTGGTGTCCTTACAAGAACAGGACAAACTATTTTAAATCAGGACTGTCCTCAAAAACGTGGGGCGTATAATACCTTTACAAAGCTTTCTTGGCATTAATGTGCGAAACTTCTGTTTGGCTATAACCTGTGGACATCAGCTAAGCGTGAGTGGTGATGGATATTCCTTGGAATGTGACACCAGCAGTATTCTTTATCTTCGTAGCCAAATTTTTAATTTCAGCTCCAAATTGCAGTGTAATTTAGCATATCCATGCTATTCATGGAAGTTGTTATGGAGCTTTCACAGTATTCCACTTGGTCAAAAAGTATTTATGGAGCACAGTCTCCTAAACCCTGGGTTTATTCACAGTCCTTATGATCTTTACTCTCAAATACCTAATACATGAGGTGACAGCATTGTCTAGACTCTGAGATCCTTGACACCAGAGGCTCTGTCCTAGTGATCTTTGCAGCCCCTATGCTAAGCACTTAGAGGGATATTCTGTAAATTTTTTTGAATATGTAAATGAATGAGCGAAGAACTTTAACATAGGTGTATGCCTATGAACATGGGACTTGTAGCATCTCATTGTGTGAGGTAGAAGGCGACCTTGCTGATGGTGATAGCAGATGAGGGAATAGATGAGGTTGGTGGGAGGCATCATAACAGCGCAGTGGATCTCAGTACTTATTAATTAACTGTTTTGAAAAATATGTAGATGCCTAGGCCCTACCTCAGACCTACTGGTGCAGATTCTCCAGGGGCGGGGCTGAGCTATCTGCATTCTCAAAGCTCCGCTGGTTATTCTGATGCACGGCCAGTTCTGAAAACTTTCGGTTCATTCGTCAAAATCACCTCGGGAGTCCGACAGGCCTGGGTTTAAATCTTACTTCTACTGCTTAGTTACCCTTGGACCTGGGTTATTTATCATTCTCATAACCATAAAATAGTTTAATTGTCCTATCTTTTTATATTTTTAGCTTTAAAACCTGAAAAAGTGAAATTCGCTGCCTGTGGAAGGAACCACACCCTAGTCTCAACAGGTGTAGTATTCAATCTGTACGACTTCCTGCCCTATCTGAGGACTGAGGTCGCACTGCAGTAACATTTGTGACTTTGTAAAATTAATAGAAATGGTACCTTGGCAACAGTAAGGTTAGGATTTTTTAAAATGTAAATGGTTGGTATACTTGTTTGCCTTTGAAAATATGTATTTCAATGTTAAATGGCTGAAGAAAATCCTCTTTTCTTGGATGATGTCAAGGGGCAGATCTCCTTACCTGTGTGCACACCTCAAGGGCCACTTGCTCCTGGTCTTGCCTTTCCCTCTTTTCTGAGGGTTAGTGGAAGCTGCCCCTGAAAGGCTATTAATGTGAGCACAATTCCAATCAAAATCCAAACTGTGTGTGTGTAGAAACTGACAAGGTAATTTTAAAGTTTATATGGAAAAGCACAGGACCTAGAATAGCCAAAAGAGTTTAGAAAAGAACAGAATTGGAAGACTAGCACTACTGATTTCAAGACCCGTAAAGCCAAAGTAATCAAGACAGTGGGCCATTTGCAAAAATAGGGACAAAGATTCACAGAACAAAACAGTCCAGAAGTAGACCCACGCGCGTATGCCCAACTAACGTTTCACAAAGGTGCCAGGATAATCCAATGGGGGAGAAAGTCATCTTTTCAAACAAATGCTGCAGGAACAAATGGAAACCCAGGCACCGATCACCGAGCCTCCTTTCCTACCTCCCTTCCGTGTTCAGGTTATTCTCACTGCCTCCAGCTTCTCCTGGGCTCTGTGCCCTCATTCATACTTTTTCCTTGCTGAAATGTCCTTCTCTTCTTCAGGTTCTTACCATTTAAGATCAGTATAAGTCTTCTTCCATGGAAGTTTCTGTGGCTATTCAACTTTGACTCATGCAGCTCTCTGAACTGCTTTAGCATTCCACCAGCTCTTGTTCATGCCATATGTGTTAAATTGTGTGGTCCTATTCCACTTGGCCTTCTAGTATGTTCCATTTGAAAGCTAGTCTTGCTTCCTCAGTTGGGTTTCATTTTTTTCCTAAAATTCTTTAAATTTTTACTGATTCAGGCTGATTTTGCCCTCAGTTTCCCCTATAATTTAATTTCATGTGCATTTTTATGACTAATTTTTAATGCATGTATGTTTTTAAAAATCTACCTTAGAGCTTACTGGCAATTTTTATTATCTAGGCATGATATACTTCATAATTAATGAAGTAAACATTTATATAGTACTTACAATGAGCCAAGTGCTGTTCTAAGAATTTTATGTCAGCTAATTTAATCTTTATAACAACTCTGTGATGTAGGCAGCATTTTTATCCCCATTTTACAGAGGAGGAAAATGAGCCACTGAGAGGTTAAGTATAGCTTGCCCTAGGTCACACAGCTGGTAAGTGGCAAGCTGGCATTTATACCCAGGAAATCTGGCTCTCCAGTCCTTTGTCCTAAACACAATACTATACTGCCTTCCTATTTAGCTTGAAAATTAAAATAATTACACAACATAGAGTTTTCATGTTTCTAATTATATTCTTTGTGGATTTGCCTCATTTTACTTGTTACATATTATATCTTAACTTTAATGGGCATGGAAGTTAAAATTAATGAACCACATCTCTTTTAAAATAGTTAGATTTGGATTATAAACTAATTTGGAAATTACTTTCCCCTTTTTTGCTCTGAATTAATAAACTGCTGCATTAACAAGGAAATATATTCCTCACATTCTGTGCATTTCAATTACTACTTAAGCTCTAGACTGATTTAGGAAATCTCACAAAAATATATAACCCTGCTTGTTTTGCTTCGTTTTTGACAATGAATTGAAGTTCAGCAAATTGTAGGATAATGTCAGCTTTCATCTTTCTTCACTGTTAACAGAAGAAATATCTGGTAACTGGCCCATCTTGTAAAGATGGTGACTCTGGTATACTGATGTTTTCTTTTCCGTGTGCAGAAGGAGGCAAAGTGTATGCAGCTGGAGGAAATAATGAAGGACAGCTGGGACTTGGTGACACCGAAGAGAGAAACACTTTTCATCTAATTAGTTTTTTTACTTCCCAGCATAAGATTAAACAGCTCTCTGCTGGATCGAACACTTCAGCTGCGCTAACTGGTGAGACTTTGTTCCATTTCAAGCTGGGATCCATCCCTTTCCTTTAGACCAGGTTTTACCAACTCAGTAAACTGACAACAGCATTGCTATTTAGTTTTCTTTCATTAACTGTGTTTTCGGAAGACATTTAAAATCGATCGAACTTTGAGTCATGACATATATTACAGTTTTGTGCTGTAATATATGTCAACACTTAGCTGCTGTGCCGTCCATCTACTCCTTTAGATGTTCTTAAATACTATCTTCATTGTATAGTGAAAGTTTTATTTGCAGCTTAATGAAGTTGCTATCAGAAACATGGGAATCTATGGGATGTATGTTACTAAAATACAGTCTGTAACGGTCATTGTATCTCTCTGGCCTCCCTCTCAAAAGCCCGTCTGAGAAATGTCTTCAAAATTGGAGCCAAGATCTCCCTGGTGCCTGTGAGGGAGCTGCCGGCGGGCTTGTGGGTTCCTGTCGGCAGAGCCGGTGACTTCCCGCCCGGCCCCTGGCTGTCGGGAAGGCCAGGCTCAGAGCCGCAGCCCCACGCCTCCGTCTCTGTCTGCCGTCCACTTAGCAATTTGACGTCCTTCTTTTGGTTCTTGTTCTCAGTTTTCCTTTTATTTGCCTCATTATTACACCACTTCAGAGATTTAAAAAATTTTCAATTTAATGAACAGACATAGGTCTTGATAATTTCCTTTCTAAATTATCATACCCAGCTTAACTTTTTCTTCCATCGAAACCCTTGTCAGAAAGAACATAAGCTAATGTGTTTCAGAGATGCTGTATGTCCGAATTCTCTGGAGCTGTCTTACATGGTTTCAAGTATAAATTATATTTAAAAAGTGAAATATATTTCTATGTATTTTTGTCTTCCTTTAAAACTTCATTTTTCACAGTGCTCTCAAGGGCAAGGTCCTCCAGGCCCTTTTGACCTAGGACTTGCCCAGGAGATGTCCAGTGCCGGTCATGCTGTCATTCAGTTGCAGGCAGACTGCTTGGAAGGAGGAACCGTTTTCTGTTTCGAGATGGTAGACTAGGAAAAGGTTCTTGTAGGGAAAAACACTCTGTCTTTGCTAGTGAGATCAAGATATGGACACGATATGCATCACATTATTCTCTGTCCTTTACCTCACAGAAGCATTTCATAATAGAAATTGAACTCTTAAGTAGCTAGCTGGTGTGAATACCTTAGCGTTTTCTCTCAAGACACGTAGTTTTTCTGAATTAAAAAATCAATGGTGTGTTGGAAATAGAGTGACTTGATAGCATTGCTACCTCTTAAAACCTTCTTCCTTGTGTTTTCTTTAGAGGATGGCGAGCTTTTTATGTGGGGTGACAATTCTGAAGGGCAGATTGGTTTAAAAGATGTAACTAATGTGTGTGTCCCTCAGCAAGTGACCGTTGGGAAGCCTATTTCCTGGATCTCTTGTGGATATTACCATTCAGCTTTTGTAACAAGTAAGAAAGGACATTTTGGATTTATCATGGTCTCTAACATTTCTAAGTGTTTACTCAATAATAAAATGAGCTAACATTCTACAGTTCTGTGGAAATGAGGCCATGGCCGTCTATTTAATGAGATAATTTTGGCCTGTTTTGGGTCACAGTGTTTCTCCATTTTAGTGATGAGAGTCTATAATTTCAAACTCACTCTGACAGGCTAACTTTTCAGTGAATATTAGGTCTGTGAAAAAAACAAAATGCAGATGTTAGAAACTCTTTTCAACTTTGGTTCTCAAACTTCTTGGATTCCTTAGCGTTGGAAATGAGACCTATGGGCCGGGTTCCCCTGGGTGCATTTGCCTGTATACTTAGACCTACTCTACTCTTGTCCTGATAATTTGCTTTTATTTCAGCAAGAGAGTCCCAGGCTTTCACTGTGAGAGCAGGGATATAGAGTAGATGAAAAAAGAAGATTGCTCAGTATAGGATATGATTTCCTTTGCTGGGACTTTCCTCAGTATCCACAGTCTCTCCCTTTCCAGGGCTCCCTGGCAACCCTTTCTGCCTCAGTTAAAATATTTAAAATGTTTTCATCTGCACCTACACCAGGAGTATTGAAGTATGATCCTTCCATCTTATCAGAGGTTTTTCTAAGCACGAAAACACCTAGAGGAAGTAGTTTTGTGGCCCCTCTTACATATCTCTAAATCTTTGTTTTATACATTTACTCCGTTTTTCATGCACATCAGATTCAGATTTAGAAAGTGCTTATTGGCCCATCCCGGTGGCTCCAGATCTACCAATGACTTGGTAGCATCATGGTACCAAGAGAGGGCAAACTCCCAACTCACCTGGCATTGTTCACCACTATATCAGCTTGTGTCTCGAACAAGCTAATAGTAAATATCACTGAATGAGGGAGGGAGTGAATGAACAATTAGTTGTGTTCCTTGGGGCAATGCTACCTACCAACTTACTGGCAATTTCTGGGCTTGTGGGGTGGCTCTAGTCTGTGCTCACTTTATGAGACAAACAAAAAGAGCACGCAAATGGAAAAACAGTCCAAACAAAAACCCCAGGCAAAAGCATTGTCTTATATTTAGATTTTAATAAAAGTGCCAGATTTCAATGTTATGAGCAAACTCTGCTTTGGCCAGTAGGAAAACAAGGGGAATTGCTCGTCATAACCAGCAGGCATTACACTGAGCATTTTTGTTTTGTTTGTATTTATGCCTTTTCAAAAACAGCTTTATTGAGTGGAATTTAAGAAACAAATGAGCAAAGGGGAAAAAAAGAGACAAATTGAGAAACGGACTTTTAACTATAGAGAACAAACTGCTGGTTACCAGAGGGGAGGTGGAGGGGGTGGGGATGGGTAAAATAGGTGAAGGGGATTGAGGCGTGCACTTGTCGTGATGAGCACTGGGTGATGTATGGAAGTGTTGAGTCACTATATAGTACACCTGAAACTAATACAACACTGTATGTTAACTGGCTGGAATGAAAAAACAATTGTTTTAAGTCAACAGACACAAAACCAGCTTTATTGACACGTAGCTCCCATACCATACAATTCACCCATGTTAAGATGTGAGGAGCAGCAGGAAATTTATAGACAGAAGTGGAAAGAAACTCATTTGGACTTAGTGATTCCTTTCATGTGAGAGGCAAGAGGCATGAGAAAAGAGGAAGGGAGCTGACATATGGGACACTTCTATGCCAGCATTTGCTACTTGATTTTCTATGCTGATCAGTCCAGAAAACTGGTACAACTTATCTTTGTAGTATTTGATCAAGTTTTAAGTGGTGCATACCAGGCATGTCCCACAACTTCCCTAAGTTCTGATTTACTAGAAGGACTCTCAAGCTTCAATAGCAGGTTATACTCACGGCTAATATTTATTACAGCAAAGGATACAGAGCAGGAACAGCTGGAAGAAGATACCTGTCTTCCAGAGAAGTCTAGCATACGCTCCCTAGTCCTTTCTCTTCTGAGGCTGCACAGGACGTGCTTTCTCTTTGGCAGTGAGCTACAGGGATGTGTGTGTGATGTCCCTGCCCAGAGAAGCCCACTGTGTTCTCAGGGCCTGAGGCTTCTTTGTAGGGGGCTGGCAGTGTAGGTATAACCTGCTGGCAAGTAGTCACAGCAACTGAAACTCAGGTCCCTCGACAATGAAACCAGGTGCCCTAAGGACCCACGCTGGCATAAATCGCTGCCTCGGGTATACAAAACAAAAATGTCAAGCACTAACAAAGAATACTCCAAGGGCCACGTTCCCCGGGGTTGGTCCGTAGTCAATCGTGGTTCTCTTGGAGACATGCAAGTGATAAGCAATCGGATGTACCGTGTTCCCTCTTTGCTCACACCAGCGGTGATATGTTCTGTGTCAGATTACATTATATATCTACAAAGATTTTTAAGTTCCTGCCTTATAGAATTCAATTATTATCCATTTACAGAAATGGGTAAAAAAATGTACCTGCCTTCAAGAAGCTCATAGTCATAGTGTGATAAGTATAGCAGAAGCAAGTCAAGACTACTAGTATGGACAAGACAGTGACTAAACATCAAGAGTTCCTTGATAAGAGAATCTTTCTGGAGCAAGTGCCATCTACTTGAGTAAAATCTGCTGTCTTAAGGCTTACTCAGCATATTTACTTCACACATAAATGAGTTTTTTTAAACAAATTTCATAAAACATTTAACAAGTATTCATTAAATATTTCATATACTGGACACTGCTAGGTTCTTGGAATACCAAAATGGACAAGACAAAACCCATGTCCCTATGTGGGCTTAATGTCTAGTCGTTTTGCTTTACTAAAAGTAAGTGGAAGTAAGATGGTCTTCTCTATGTCTTATGAAAGAGCTAAAATCCTTTTCTAGTTCATTAGTAGTGATGGTTGTGAATTCATGAACATTTTGGGTTAGAATAATCAAGGGGAAAAGAAAACCTTAGCTTTATTTCCTTACCATGCAGTAAAAATATCTCAAGAAAGGTTAAATTTATCCAGTTGTCATTGAATGCATTTTTGGTTGAACGTGAGAACGTGTACCTCAAAGACCAGTATTTTGTCCATCGGTCTGTCGTCATTGACTACTGTTCTTTTCCTTCAATAGCGGAGGGAGAACTGTACACGTTTGGAGAACCAGAGAGTGGGAAGTTAGGTCTTCCCAATCAGCTGCTTTGCAACCACAGGATGCCCCAGCCGGTGCCTGGAATTCCCGAGAAGGTGGTCCAGGTAGCTTGTGGTGGAGGGCACACGGTGGTTCTCACAGGTACGTGTGGAACTCGCTGCTGCGTTCCCAACTTTCTGTGCTGGCTAATGAAAAAAACATTTACGTTCATTTTCTTTTATTGTGATGAGAAAGCTTCACACCTGATCCACCCTCTTCACAGATTTTTAAGTCTGTAATACAGTATCATTATCTCTAGACACAGTGTTGCACAGCAGATCTCTAGAACTTATCTTGCGCAACTGAAACTTTGTACCCATTGATAAGCTGCAACCCTTTCCCCCTCCCAACCCTGGCAACCACCATTCTGGTCTCTGCTTCTATGAGCTTGACCGTCTGAGATACCTCACATAGGCTGGCCTTGCATCTGGTTTTTACTAAGATCCCCACCTTTGATTTCCATCGTTAACACACTTTCCTGGCCTATGGAAGAAATTTGTAACTAGAAAAAAATGAATCTTTTTGAATTGTTTTGAATCTTTTGTTTGAATAGTGGACATTTTCATGATCTTAACACCTTTAACGGCAGCAGATAACATTGTTTTAGCTTGTTTTCAAGGACCGTTTTCCTCGCCCACGCGTGTGTGTATATATATTCCATATTTATCTAAAATTGACGTTATTGGGGGCGCCTGGGTGGCTCAGTCGGTTAAGCGTCTGACTTCAGCTCAGGTCACGATCTCGCGGTCTGTGAGTTCGAGCCCCGAGTCGCTTTGTCAGCCCAGAGCCTGGAGCCTGCTTCCGATTCTGTGTCTCCCTCTCTCTCTGCCCCTCCCCCGTTCATGCTGTCTCTCTCTGTCTCAAAAATAAATAAAAAACATTAAAAAAAATTTTTTTAAACAAAAAAAAAAATAATAAAATTGACATTATTTTTCCTGAAACATTTTCTTTTCCCTGTTCATGCTATTTTCTACATGTCATTGATGATTCTTTTCTTTGTGATATTCACAATGTAGAAGTTGGTAATTTCTTTGTGATTTTTATGTTCTGTTATAGTAATTCATCAAAAAATGTTAAGTTTTAAATTCTAGATAATAAAAGAAAGTTAGAGCCTTAAACACAATGTCACTTTTGGCTTTTGAATTTCGTATTTGGTATGACATGTCACTTTTCAGGATCCTAGTCAATCCGGTGAAATATATGTACTTCTTGATAATACATTTACTAAATTGCTGCCCCTAAATTTGTTCAGCATCAGATTTCTTTATGACTAGTAGTACACAGGTAATACAGTCAGTGAATTATTATGGGTTTTTTTTTTGGTCAAAAAGAAATGAACAGTTTCTGAAGTTACCACTTAATCGTCAAGTAACCCAAAATTAGCATTCTAGACAAATTTTGAATAACATCCAATTCTCAGATGATCTGCTTAATGTTGCAAGGTGATTGAGCAACATTTTACCTTTAGATTTCCCTCCCTTCTATCACTTTGCCTTAACTTTTTGGTCTAAATCCCAGTCATGCTTATTAAGCTATGGTTTTCCAGAATTACAGTGCCCCGATGGGATCCTTTTTCCAGGTTAGAAATAATTTTTTTTCCAAGACCTCCACTCTGAATTTTGGAAATAATTCTGGGGTTTAAGATTTCTTTGAATTTCTGCTAACAGAATGAATTTTCATATGTTTTTGGAAAGATTTATTCCAGCAGAGCCTGGGTGGCTTGGTCAGTTAAATGTGCAGCTCTTGATTTCAGCTCAGGTTATGATCTTCCAGTCGTGAGAGTGAGCCCCTCATCTGGCTTTGTGCTGGACATGGAGCCTCTCTCCGTCTCCCCCTCCCTGTGCCCCTGCCCTGTGCACATGCTCGCTCTCTCTCTCTCTCTCTCTCTCTCTCTTTCTCTCCAAAAAAAAAAAAAAAAAAGATTTATTCTAGAAATTAAACTTTTAAATTAATCTTTATAAATTATCTGAAAATGTATTCTATAGGCAGAAATACAACTTATTCTTTATGTGTCATATATTTTCTATAGTTTCTACAAAGATTATAGAAAGAATTTATTAGGAGACTGAAGCTTATTCTAAAGGACACAAATATTGATTATATAATAATAATGTCATTCAGCCATATATTATAAAATACTGTTATAGAAAATGAGCACTCAGATAATCCATAATACTTTTAATTATACTTAAAATTTAAAAATGCACTGAAGCGTGATATTTTCTTGCAGGATTATAGAAATTTACCTTTCTGTGGATTTAATTTTGAGGTTAAAAACTTTGCTGCCAGAAATTGTTCTCTCTAGATTCTTGCAGCCTTCAGGATGTCACAGAGCAGTAAAGTTTTCATATTTAAAATTTTTAATTTTGTGAAAAGAATAGGAGGACCATCAGGGGTGTCTGGGTGGCTCAGTCAGTTAGGTGTCCACCTCCAGCTCAGGTCATGATCTTGTGGTCCACGAGTTCGAGCCTGTGTCAGGCTCTGTGCTGACAGCTCAGAGCCTGGAGCCTGCTTCGGATACTGTGTCTCCCTCTCTCTCTGCCCCTCCCCCACTCACACACTCTGTCTCTCTCTCAAAAATAAATAAATAAATAATAAATAAATAATAAATAAACAAATTTTTAAAAAAAGAATACAAGGACCAAAAGACAGTTGCCATGTTCTGATTTGCATTTGGCTAAATATGGACATTGCATAAAAAATGTAAGTGTTCCATCATTATACCATAAATAACAGGCATTTCAAAACAAATATTAATAAGCTCTCAATTCTATTGTAAAACACTCTCTCTTAAATTATATACATTTATCTGTATGGAAAAGTCACTACTTTACCTGTTTTTCACATATCTCCACGGACCTGTGACAGCTTTATTATGATCCAGCCCTGGTGAGAAACCTGTGTCCCGGAGTACAGTGTGGACAGAAATGTTTAGTCTTAACTGATGAAGAAATGGACCCAAAGCATGTATTGATTATCGTTGACTAAGTGCTAAATTGAATACTTGAGAGCTATAGAATACTGTGCAAGACCTTAAAGGAAATAATAGCTAACCATCTGTTCCAGACGATTCCCTTCACTAAAGGAAAGGGCTTGGATTAGGTGATTCTATGGGGTCCCTCCCTAGCATTCTTTTTCCTTTTGTCTGTAACTCTGATCTTAAAAGCTGTTTGGGTATCATTCATTAAAATACTTTAAAGGTAATTTCAATTAGTTTATTGCTGATGAATTTATTTAAAACATAATGTTTCTACATTGACTGTAATAGGTTACAAAATGAAACTACTGGTTATAGTGAAAGTATGCTTAGTTTCTTCTTAGAATCAGGGAGACAGTGGACTCCTGTTGAGAAAGTGTCAGCCTGGAACTTGGGATACACTGAGTGAGACAGAGTGATAGATGTAATCTGGTATGTCATCCACAGCATTCCCGACAAACAAAACAGTCCTGCTTATAAGATGGGGTCCATAGTGAAGTCTGGATCCCAAGGGAAATAAGAACTTACCTTAACTTCTCTAGATTATGTTTGGACAAACTCAAGTTCTGTACATGGCAGCAAGCTACTAGTCATGAGATCAAGTGTATTCTGAGAAATCAGAATAATATGGAAGCTAATAAAACTGGTTTTCTTAATAGGGTATTATTAATCAGCGTCAAATTACATTGTTAAATGTTACAAAGGTGATATGACCAAAAATATATTAGTTGCGAAATGTAATGTCCTTAGGTAAAAGAGTCTTAGGTCATTTTTTAAAAAATGGAAACTGTTGTCATTGCTAATCATCCAAGTACCCAAGAGCGAACCCAATAGGGTAAGGAGCAAAACTTGTGTAGCCTGATTCAGGCTGCCGAAATGGCTTCATTTCCCAGGCTCACCTCAGCCTGTGCAAGCTAGAGTGATTATCGGCCAGCAAGAGATAGGCACTTGGTTTTTTATGTTTGTTTATTTTTGAGAGAGAGAGAGAGACAGACAGAGTGTGAGCAGGGGAGGAGCAGAGAGAGAGGGAGACACAGAATCCGAACCAGGCTCCAGGCTCTGAGCTGTCAGCACAGAGCCTGACACGGGGCTCGAACTCAATGGACCTCAAGATCATGACCTGAGCTGAAGTCAGATGCTTAACCAACTGAGCCACCCAGGTGCCCCTGGTGACTTGTAATTCTCATGTAAATTCTCCTCTGAAATTGTTTTACAAAATATATTATTCTGTTAAACTACTTTTGAAAAGTAAGGAGTTTTTCTGGAGGAAACACTACTCATGTTTTTATTTTAAGGCAATGAAAGGAATTAGCTTAATGACAACTGATGCTATTTTTAAAAAGCTGAGTGCTAATTATAAGGACATGTTAGGTAGTTCACTGAGTTACGTGTCTTTAGCAATTCTTATGGTTATACGTAAAAGATAAAACCAGGCCCATGCCCTAACTTTTAGAATTGTGTGCCTTGTCATTTTTCTCTTCCTTTGTCATTGAGAATGTGTACCTAGGTATTAGGCATTCTTATATGGGTATTTCAGAGGCACTTAACTTTCATCATGAAAGTTTGATTGTGACAGTTTTTCTAGCTATAATGGTGACTGTGTCTGCTTCCCTGCAGTCCTTTTCTTATATTTATTTGCTCATTCCCTTTCAGAGAAAGCCGTGTATACCTTTGGGCTGGGACAGTTTGGTCAGCTGGGTCTTGGTACTTTTCTTTTCGAAACTTCAGTACCCAAAGTCATTGAGCATATTAAGGATCAGAAAATAAGTTCTATTTCCTGTGGAGAAAATCACACAGCTCTGGTAACAGGTACAGATGAGAATTTCTGTTACATATTTATAGAACTGGGTATGTTTTAGTACAAAATAAAAAATATGTGGAATTATTGTATCTAACTTAAGCAAAGGAATCAATAACTGACAAAATAGAAGTTCTTGTTTAATATGCCAAAGTGTAAAGCTGTAAACTCTTTTTTAGTATTTGTTCAATTTAAAATCAGTGTAAATGATCCAAAGATTTAGAACCTCAAAACAAGTCAGTGCTATAGTAGTATTATACTCTGGCAGAAAGCTGGAATCTTTTTGAAATTGCATCAGTTTGCAGGCTCTTAACTCTGCTCAGGCCAGAGGAAAAAGTCTTATAAGAAAGAACCTACTATAAAAGAGTCTCCACGTTCAATCAGACACAGCTATATTCTGGCTGAGTCGGTTCCTACGAACCTTTTGCCACTAGGAGGTGTTTTCAGGAGTGACTCTGCTACTTTCTCCCCAGTGATCGAAGGGCACCTCATAGGCTGCTAAGTGGACACCTGAGTCCTCGAGATCTTTCGCTCTGTACTTTCTCCATTATCCATGGAGACTGCTTTGGGCCTACTTCTCAACCTTAGAAACCATGTGCTGCTAATATGGACTCAATGTAAGATTCTCCCTTAGAAATGACTCCCTTAGTTTACCTGTAGATAATTGATATACTGCACAATTATCATTGCTTTGGAACAAAAGCCTCTGTAATTTCAGTCTTTCTGGCTCACATTTCTATCTAAAAATGAAGTCAAACAAAAAGGCAGAAATCATACAGTGTTTTGAAATAAACCAGATACTGGTATTTCCACATTTGTTTCCTTCTTTCTAAAAAAGCTACTGCTAAATGAAGCTCATCTAATGGTATCTAGTTGGGGGATACTGGTAATCTGCAAACACAACGTACTACCATACATTGCCCTTCTTCCCCAAAGAGCCTTTCAGAGAGAACTACCTGCCCATTTTCAAGTACCAATGTCCTTTTTAATGTAGCATGAAATCAAACTATACAGAACATAAAGAATTATTATTCATTCATGGTCCCAGAAGGGTTGTTGGTATGTATCCCTTACTGCAGGGTCTTTATGTCAGTTTTTCATCAATTGTCCTTACTGCTGTTTTTCATCAACTCTAAATTGCCATAGATGGTAAATACATACTTTTTATGGATCATCTAACATACAATTAGACTATTTGGTTAAATTTTGATACTACCTTTCCTCCTGATGGAAGAAGTCATAGCACAAATAATTGAACATTAACTTGGTTTGTCTTTTTGCTCATGAAGCCTCCTCAGGGGGCAGGTGTTATGAATTTTTTTCTTCCAGGACTAATGAGAGGTGTGTAGTGAGTTATCTGTAATTTCTTGCCAGTTCCCCATTATGTAGCCAGTGGCTTATGTTTTAAACAGCTCTCAAGCTGGAAGTACAATAAAGTAGCTTGGATCAGAGTTTATTTTTTCTGGCTATAGATCATCAAGTTAAAACACAGAGCCTAAAAAGCACTTTGGATAAAGAAATGAGGGGTCAAAAGAAGAGGAAGAAGGGAAAAGGATGATAAGGAGGGTATCTAAAAAAAAGAAATTAGCTAATACTAAGTATTTTAAGAGTCTAAATTCAGGGTGTAAATACTGCTTATTGCTTATTTATGGTTTTTGAACTTGACACTTTACTGCATAATGTTATTTCTCATTTTTCATTTAGTTCTCTTGAATTTTCTTAGGATGACATTACTTTGCCCTCTTAAACTAGAAGTTCCCAAATGAGATGTTAACATGTCCTAGCTCAAAACCATTCATTCAGGGGCGCCTGGGTGGCTCAGTCGGTTAGGCGGCCGACTTCGGCTCAGGTCATGATCTCGCGGCTTGTGAGTTCGAGCCCCGCGTTGGGCTCTGTGCTGACAGCTCAGAGCCTGGAGCCTGCTTCCGATTCTGTCTCCCTATCTCTCCGCTCCTCCCCTGTTCTCTCTCTCTCTCTCTCTCTCTCTCTCTCTCTCAAAAATTAATAAACATTTTGAAAAACTTTTAAAAAACCATTCATTCAGTTTATTGCCCTTAAGATAGAGTTTAAAAATTCTTAATATGAACTAATTGGGTCCTCTGTGGTGTGGTTTCTTCTTACCTCTTCAGACTCATCTCCTTCCATTAGTTGCCTTTCAGCTTCTTGACTGTGTTATGTTTTCTCTTGATTCAGAGCCTTTGGATGTGCTCCTTTCTTGCAGCTAAAATCCTAACCATCCTGTAGGTTTCAGCTTGAAAGCCTTCCTGACTCCCACACTACAAAGAAATCCCCTCCTGCCCCCCTTTCCTTCTGCTTCCATGACCTTTTCCCCCACCTGAGGGAGAAAGTGTGAAGGAGGGCTTGAGAAGAGGAGCAAAGGTTCAGAATAGCCGCTGTGGCAATGGGCAAAGGGTTAACTGCAGAGAAGCAGCCAGATGTCTCCCCATCATCGAAGGGGTCCTCGGTTACTGGTACAGGGACTAGTCCACCTGGTTGGTTTACGGCACTTCCTTCAGGGGCATTCCACGGCCCAGGGACCGAATTAGTAAAAGAGACAGTTGGACTGGTCCAAGCTAGTAGTTCTCCACCGGTGGTGATTTTGTCCTGCAGGGACACATGACAGTGTCTGGAGACATTTTTTTCTTGTCCCAACTGCAGAGGCAGGGTGTTTTCTGGACATTTAGTAGGGAGAAGCTATGGATGCTGCTAAACACTCCACAAAGCACAGGACAGACCCACACAGCCAAGGATTCCCTGACACCAGATGTCAGTGGTACCCAGGTTGAGAAACCCTGAGGTAATCAGTGGCCTGAGGGGGAAAAATGGGTTGTATTGGAACATAGGGGGCTCAGAATACAGAAATCTCCTTCCCCTTGAGAAGATGGCGCACATCACAAGATCGCTCACACTGGGTTGTTGCTGTTGCACACAGTGCCTCACACGACCGGGCTTCAAATTCACAAACCGCCAAGGGCTTAATGATTTTTCTCAGAGTATCTGTTGCCTAACGTTATGTGCAGGACCACGGAGACCACATAGGGTGTGGAAATATCAGTGAATCAGAGTAAATACGGTGTAGAATTTGAGGGGGAAAATCACAATTGCAATGTAAGTAAATATGTCTGTCTATTTACAAATAGATCCATATAAGTAAGGCTTTTATAATTCTCTCTTTTTTTGCATTTTAGATATAGGTCTTATGTATACTTTTGGAGATGGTCGACACGGAAAATTAGGTCTTGGACTGGAGAACTTTACCAATCAGTTCCTTCCCACTTTGTGCTCTCATTTTTTGAGATTTATAGCTCACTTGGTAAGGGCACCACATTTCCATGTTTACATTTTCATATTGTAATACTTGAGTTTCAGTATTTCATAGAAACTAAGGAATTTTATGTTTGTATAAAAGAATATCATGCCTATATCTAATCAGTATACTCGTTTCCTAAAAGCCAAACGTCAGACATCATGCCACTTGGAAAATCTGTCCCTTTCCTACTTTCCCTCCTGTCAGCATCTTCCTTTTCGCCCTAATCTGGACTCTTCTGCTTCGTTCTCCTGTGTCTCTTGAGAGCCAGAACAGTGCCATGCCTGGAAGCTTTGTGGCCTCTGCCAGCGCCCAGCAGAGTATCTGACAGTAGCCCACTGTCAATATTTGTTGAATTAGATCTTACTGAGTCTTATTTGAAATGATAATAATTTCAGGGCCCCTGAGTGGCTCAGTCGGTTAAGTGTCCGACTTTGGCTCAAGTCATGATCTCGTGGTCCTTGAGTTGGAGCCCCACATTGGGTTCTGTGCTGACAGCTCGGAGCCTGGAGCCTGCTTCGGATTCTGTGTCTCCCTCTCTCTGACCTTCCCCTGCTGGTGCTCTCTCTCAGCATAATAAGTAAACATTAAAAAAGAAATAATATTATTTGAAAATAATTTCAAAATATTATGAAGTAAAGGTTCAGAGTATGCTATTCTTATAACCACCACGTTGAACACTATAAAGATACTAAAAATCTGTGTCTTGCAAATGCTACACAATGGTGGTTTAGGCATTTTATTGAAAATCAGCTATTTCTGAAAATCCTTTGGATGTTGGTTTCATTTTTCATTGTTGCACCATTGTGCATGCTTACCTTTCACTCTAAGGACTTTGAAGCATTAAAATAAAAAAAAGTGTTCATGTAAAGAAAAAGGTTTGGAGATTTAATTTCCCCAAGAGACTGATTTATGCTTGGATCACTTTTTTCTAAGTAGAACTTCTCGGAGTAATTTTTTCAAGGTGTTAGTGTTGCTCCCAAATTAAAATAACATTTTCTAACTAGTTAGGAGAAATGTAATGTGCCAAATAGTTTTTTTCTCTGTACTCTATTAAATTGGAAGTCAAATGGTATGTTAAACTTGTTCTCATTTTCAATTGCAGTGTTTAAAGAATATATATATTGCCATCCGTGTGTGCGTATGTAACTTGGGAGGGGGGCAGACAGACTGACTGACTGACTACCTAGGAAGTCTACCATTAAGTAAACGTTTTGTGGCTGCCAACTGTTAAAAACCCATTTGTATTTGAAGCCAGTGTTGATTGATTTATCTGTGGTTTTATGCTGCAGGTGTCTTGTGGTGGATGTCACATGCTAGTTTTTGCCGTTCCGAGACTTGGTGGGACAGAAGAAATTGAGTTAGAGGAAGTTAAGGATGCTTGCTTCCATGCAGAGGCTTCTCTGCCCCTCAGCAATCTGAACTCAGGGAATGTTTTGCAAACAACTCTATCAGCACGTGTGCGGCGACGAGAGAGGGTACAAATTGTGGCCAATTCTATATCGTGGCACTACAAAGAAAACAAAAAAATTCATTTTCTTTTTAAATCAAAGAAGGGTCTTTTAAGACAGATTTACTAAATAAAATGGTTAGAGTTTCAGGCTTACAAACTTGAAGCAAATTCAGAGTTAAGCTGTTACACACACAAATGAGAAAATTCAAATGATCATGGATAACCTTGACTTACGGAGAGTGGATACAAAGCAAGGATACAAAGCGTCCTTTTAGAGGCCTATCTCAGCTCTTCACGTTGAATGCTGAATTGTTTTCTCACCTCCATGTGCATTGATTCTACTTTGCTTTTTATCTGTTGGCTATACCTCGTGAGCTGTGGAAGGTTATCCATTATAAACAATGAAATGTAGGAAACAGAAATAAGGACTTCCGTTCGAGATAGGAAGTGTTCTTTCTCATTGAGATTTAGAAGTTCTCATTCAGCTTTAAAATGATTATTTCAATAACAATATTTAAAAAAAGAAAATGTCAAATAATTTTAAAGGGGACATTCCTTTTTAAAAAAATTAAGTTCCAAAACATTTTCCTTTTGAAGTAAAAAGTTTGACTTTTTGTTATGAAAAAGTGTATATAGAAAGATTGAGAAATATCAGTGTTTTGGAGTTACTGTTTTTGTTTAGGCCTCATGACTGATTTTTTGTTTCCTAGCAGAGAAAATACATATACGCTTTTCCCCATCATGTGAAAAACAGGCTTCTAACTTAACAATTTAGAGCAATTTAGATACAGAGATAACAGAACAAAACATTTTTGAGTTCTTGGGGATTATTTAAAAATGAATGTGGGACAGTGGGCAACTTTGAAGTCTCTTTCTTAAATATTTTTAGCAACTGGAGAACAGTTTATATCAATATTAAAAACATCCTCTGTTTATTTAACCTGTTTATTTTAAAGGAGAAATCGCCCGACTCTTTTCGAGTAACACGAACACTACCTCCAGTTGAAGGGATTCCTGTGCCACCTGTTTGCTTTTCCCCCTTTCCTTTTCCTTTCCATATGTCTGCAATTAATCTGCCAGAGACCATGATACCTGAAGATGAGGACCTCACGCAGCCAATGGAACCAGGTAACATCTGATACTCTGCAGGCTCACACAAGAAATGTACCTTTTATTTCTGTTGTTTTCATGTTTATCTTAAGATGTTTTTGTCAGTTAGTTAACTTGTCTTCCTAGTTAGAGGCTGACCTCTCTTATCTGAGCTCAAGTCCAGGAATACTCTTACAAATACAGAGCATCGTAAGTGACCCTAGAAATCCCGTGTAACAATAGCAGTGTATTTTTATAGAGCAATGTATAATACACATAGTACCTTCTCTTATATCATCTCCTTTAAATCCTGAAGCAATTCCATGAAATAGGTGGGAGTTAATAAATTTGTTATTTTTATTTTTTTTTTTTTAATTTTTTTTTCAATGTTTTTTATTTATTTTTGGGACAGAGAGAGACAGAGCATGAACGGGGGAGGGGCAGAGAGAGAGGGAGACACAGAATCGGAAACAGGCTCCAGGCTCCGAGCCATCAGCCCAGAGCCTGACGCGGGGCTCGAACTCACAGACCGTGAGATCGTGACCTGGCTGAAGTCAGACGCTTAACTGACTGCGCCACCCAGGCGCCCCGAAATTTGTTATTTTTATAGATAAGAAATGCAAGGTTTGAAGAGACTGAGTGACTTGGTCACAGCCACTCAGCTTATAAATGAAGTGAGCAGGATTTGAATACTAGTCTTCTGGACCTATGTGAAGTCCTGCGTTTAGATAGTATAGCATAGTGGTTAAGAGCATGGGGTATGGGGTTCAATTGACCTGGAGTGGGATGTCCGCTCTGACATTTATTGACTGTGTGATTTACTTTGGGAAAGTTACTTAATTTCTCTGAGACTTAGTTTCCCTATCTTTGAAATGAGTCTAATACTTCTTTAGAGAGTGATTGAGATTAAATGAGATATGGTATATAAAATACTTAGCATTGAGCCTAGCACCTCTAGGAACCTCTTTGTAAGTATAATCTTGGTTATTATTAACACCTCTACCTCACTGCCTGTTAGATATACATTTTATGTTTTATTTTTTTAACGTTTATTTATTTTGAGATAGGAGGAGAGCGCGAGCAGGGGAGGGGCAGAGAGAAGGGGAGAAAGAATACCAAGCAGGTTCCGTGCTGTCAGTGCAGAGCCCGACATGGGGCTTGATCTCACAAACCATGATACCATGACCCGAGCCAAAATCAGAGTCGGACGCTTAACTGACTAAGCCACCCAGACACCCCCATTTAATGTTTTAAATTGTAATCCCAGCTCCTTGGCTATATAGTCCTCTTCTAAGTAATTTTGTTTACAGGTATTTGTGTATCTTAAGAGGGTATGTATGTTACTGCAGGGAATGTGCTTGGATAGTAGGGGCAGGGTAAGAAGCCAGGACCCAAGAGATCAGAGTAAGCAGTAGGTTTGGAATTAAGATAATTTGGGCATCTGGAATTAAGAACCACGGCACAGAGAATTTTTAGTGTCTTTGGGATCAAGAACGTAGACAGAAGTTGAGGTCATAAAAGCAAGAATTGTACGCCATGAGAATAGAATATTATCTACAACCAGGACCTTCGTAAGGAGCTGGTTTCTTGCATCTCACACACAACTTTTGTATGATTCCTTTTGAGATAAGAATCACTGGCACCATTCTGTCCTGTACATGGAAAAAGCCGAGTCTAACAACAGTGTGTACAAGGAAAAGAGAAGTTTACAGTTTGGGGGAAGTCGTTTCCTACCTTAAGAGATTTGAATGTGAACATGTACAGAGTTTTGTAGCTAGATCCAAAAGAAAAGTGATCCCTTATCTTTTTGTGGCTGTTTGCTAAAAGTGTCTACAAAGTATTCTGAAAGTTATGTCTAACATATAATGTGACTTTTTCTAAATTATTTGCAGACTTCAGTATTTATCGGGGAGGTAGAAAGGTCAGGGAAGATCTTGCTGAGAAGGTGACATTTAAGCTAAAACATAAAGAATAAGAAAGACAGCCACATGAAGAGAGAGGATGATATGCATTTTAGGCAAGGAAAATAATGTAGGCAAAGGTTTGGAGGCAGTTTATAAGAAAAGGAAAGAAGACCATTGGAGCTAGACAGTGGGGGAAAAGGCTAGAAAGATGCTGAAGAAAGAATGGGAAAGTATTCATGATTTTATAGGCTGTGAGAAGCCTATTTTATTTGAGTGTTTTTCTTAAGTGCAATAGAAAGTCATTAAAGGGTTTTAAACAGTGGAGTGATGTGCTCCAATCCAATTTACATTTTAAGATGCTCCCTTTGCCTCTGTATGGATTGTAGGGAGGAAAGACCAAAAGTAGGAAGAACATTTAGCAGCCTTTTGCAGGAGACATCAGTGTGTGGTCCAAGGTGTTTGCTGTGGAGATGGAGAGAAGGGGGCAGACTGGACATACATTTTAGACAGAACTAACTGGATTTGCCAACCTTATTAATGGATTACACATAGATGTGAAGGAAAGGGAAGAATCAAGGATGGTTCCTAGGCAAGAAGATGGTTGGCAAGCTTGAAGGAAAAATTAAAAATTGAGTTTGAGATACCTGTGAGACATCGAAGCAGAAATATCGAGCAGGCAGTTGAAGATGCAAGCCTAAAGTTCAGAAGAGATGTCTGAACTAGAGAGATAACTTTGGAACCCAGACAACACAGAGATGGTATTTGCAACCCATGGGACTTGGTGAAATCACCTGATAGATAGAATCACCTATTAGCTAGAGAAGAGAGCCCAGGATTTCGCCCTAAAAACATCTAACATTTAGAGTGTTTGGGAGGAAGAGCCAGCAGAGAAGCTCCATCAGCCAGTAGGGTAAGAAGAGGGAAATCAGGAGAGAGTAGGGTCCTGAATTCAAAGTACTGCTCAGAGGTCATGGAAAAAGCTCAAAGAAGCATCCCATGGATCTGGCATCGTGGAGAACACCGGTGATCTTGACACAAGTAGTTCCAGGGGAAGATGAGGGCAGAAACCAGAGTGTTTAGAGTTGAGGCATGAATGGGAAATGAGGAAGTGAAGAGATGGGGTGTGTAGATAACCCTTTTGCATATTAGTCATGAAGAGGAGTGGAGGAAAGGGCTGGCAGTTAGAGGGAGATGTGGGGTCAATGGAAAATGTTAGAGCATTTTTGTATGCTAATGGACACGAGCCAGTAGTCCCAGATGGATTGGTAGCACACGAGAGCGATAATCCCCAAAGTGCAAAACTCTTGAGGAGAGTGGGGCTGGCATACCGAGCAGTCTTTGATAAGAGGAAAGACACATCCTATCTTTTAACAGGAAAGTGGAGGTAACTGTGTACATTTGTTTGTGGGAAGATAAGGCAGATCAGGTCTGATGACTTCTATTTTCTCAGTCAGGTATAAGGCAAAGCTTAAATGATCTACTGTCTCTTTTCCAAACCTCCATTCTCTGCCGTCTCCAAACTATCCTGCTTAGCATTTCCTATGTTAACCTTCCTCAGGCACAGTTCATTTCCTGTCTGTTCCAGTGTCTTCTGAGAATCCCTAATATTTTTTTAATTAAGTGTAAGTTTCCCCATGTAACTCCCAACATGCTTTTCTAGCTTCATCTGTCAATAGTCTTTTTCTTATAACCTTAATTTAGGTCACAGGTCTGTAATCTACAGCTCATGAGCCAAATCTAGCCAGCTGCTTATTTTTGTAAGTAAAGTTTTATTGGAACTCAGTTGTGCCATTCCTTTGTGTATTGCCTATGGCTGCTTTTCCACTACAGTAGCAGCGTTTGAGTCATTAGGACAGAGACTATATGGCCACAAGGCCTAAAATGTTTGCTATGTGGCCTTTTACAGAAATAGTTTACCAGCTCCTAATCTTGATCAAACTGAGCTCTTCACAGTCAGACTTAGCGGAAAAGCTGTGAAGTCACGACAGACCTGACATTGACACTTGGCACTTAATAATTTGTGAAACGGAGATACACTACTTACCTCTCTTGTTGTCATGGAGGTCACTCAACATGTATGAAGGCATGCGCTCCCAGCACATGGAAAGCCTTCATTACAAGCCATTCTGCCACTTCTCTTAGCGCTGGGCTTCCTTTTCTTCTCTGCCCACTTCATCTACTCCTCTCAGAATTCTGCTCACTCTTCCCTGCACCTGTTCAGTGAAATATTTCCTGATTCCCAACATTCGGGTGTGATTTCTCATGCCAATATATCACATATTTTATATTCCCTTCTAGACTGTAAATTCATTAAGAAATAGTAGTTACTTAAGTTGATTATCTCCCGCATAGTACCTCACGTGGAATAAGCACAAACTGGTTATTTGCTCATTTGAATTGAATGTATTTACAAGGGACAGATCAGTGGGGACTGGTGTTTTCAGCGAAGACTTCATTCAGGAGTTCCTCTCAAATATGTATACGGGTGCTAAATGCAGGCAGAGTAAATGAGAAAAATGTAAGGTCAAGTAGAGCTCATAAGTCTTTTTTTTATTGGTGTTTATTTTTGAGAGAGAGGGAGGGACAAAGTATGAGCGGGGGAGGGGCATTGAGTGAGAGGGAGACACAGAATCCAAAACAGGCTCCAGGCTCTGAGCTGTCAGCACAGAGCCCGACCCGGGGCTCGAACTCACGGACTGTGAAATCATGACCTGAGCCGAAGTCGGACACTTAACTGACTGAGCCACCCAGTGCCCCAAGCTCATAAGTTTTAATGATCTGCTTTATGATGTAATAACCTTACAGTTTTCCATGCAAGTTTGTAGGTGCTTATACTAGTTATCTTTTTCTACATAACAAGTGACCTTAAAACTTATCTAAGAGTTTGTGAGGGCCAAGAATCCAGATGCAGCCCAGCTGAGGGGTTCTGGCTCAGAGTGTTTCCTGCAGTTACAATCATGCTGTCAGATGGGGCTGTAGTCATCTGAAGGCTCAATTGGGGCCGAACGATCCTCTTCCATGTTCACTCATGTGGCGATTGGCAGGAGGTTTTACTTCCTCAGCACGTGGACTTCTCCCTAGGAATGCTCCTAGCATGGCTTCCCCCAGAGAAAGGGATGCAAGAGAGAAAGACGGGGCGAAGGGACCAAGATGTAAACTGCATTGACATTACAATTATGTCAGCTTTATTTTATTGGCCATACAGATCAGCCTGGTAAAATGTGGAAGGGAACAACACAAGGGCACACATACCAGGAGGATGTGGGTCACTGGGGCCCCTTTTAGGGACTGGCTGTCACAGTGCTTGATACCTGGGTAGTACATCTCCCAAAGGAATAGTGTTTGCCTGTTCATATGAATGTAGCAGTTGTTATCAGCATCAAAACCTTTCAACTTTCAGAAAGAGACTTTAAAACCTGTTATCACTATGAATGAATTCTGTTCAGTTCCCTAAACATGAAGTTAAAGGACTTTAGTAAAATTATGTCTGCACTTTACATTATGGAATAATTTATTGTCTAGTTGTCTTTCAGTTTTCCATTGAAATCTGGTTTTCCCTTTTCCCTTTGAATCAGATTATTTTCAAGATAAAATGACCACAGAGAAAGAGACAGACATTTCTTCAGCAACAGATTCAGAAAGCCTTGGAGAAACTACTGATGTCTTAAATATGGTAATGGTTTTCTTATTTACCTATATAGATTTCTTTGAATTTTAGTTCATCATGTATTCATATGTGTGTATACTTCCTATACTGTTAAATGCATCACAAAAGCTTTTGGTTTTGGTTTTGTTTTCATTTTGCTTGTTATTTTTATGTTACACATTATTTTATTGAGATACAGCTTTCATACAAATACAATTACTTTCAGTCCTCATAACATTAGTATGCAATTGAGAGTTGATTATATTACTATCTGAACTGTTTTGTGTTAATTTCATATATACATTAGAATGTGTAAATGTGTAATTCTATACATAGTATTCTTTTTAGAACATATTTTTTTGTTTATTTCAGACACATATGATGAGCCTGAATTCCAATGAAAAGTCATTAAAATTATCACCAGTTCAAAAACAAAAGGTAAAATATGGAGACTTATTTTCATTATTGTGGGTAAGAACAGTTTAAATTACATTTTTTGTTGAAAGGTTTCTAGAAAGAACACATGGAAGATAAGTATTCATTTACTTTAGATTTTAACAGACACAGGAATACATTGTAGATAGCCTCAATTTGGGTCTGTTCTGTTGGAATATATTTCCTGTGGTGCAGAAAGAGTGACAGAATTTCATTGGTATCACTAACAAGTCATAATAGCAGTATTTGCTTATCATCAAAGCAAAGGATTATTACGGCGCTTCCTAAATACTGGAAGAGGCTACTGTTTATCGGAACAATTCTCAGACTTGGGTTGAGTAGGACTTTGGTTGAGTTACCATGCTGACCTAAAAGGTCTTTTCTAGCTCTGAAATTTGCTGGTTTTAGTGAAAATATTTGATAATTGCTTTTCCAATGTGTGGAATGGGTTTTAATCTGTCAAGGAATTGCTAGCATAAAAACAGAATTAAACATTTGGAAATTAATCAGAAACCATGCTTGGGTGATAAAGGGAGGCTTTTAATGAATAACAAATGAATAGCAAAAGGAAGGGATAGTCTGGTTTTCACAGCCCTGTCGAGATAAAGGCCTGCCCTAAAATCCTTTGCTTCTCCTGGCTTTGAGGACCAGTGAGGTGAAAGGAGGAGAGGGGTTTGGCGATTAGAAAAGTAAATTGGAGAAATATAAATTGAAGGAAGAAGGCTTATAGAAAACATTTCATTTCCATTTCCAGTGCCTTTGCCACATTAATAAACTAAAACTCCTTAACCAAAATGCAAGAGAGTCTCGGCTGAATTATAAAAATTTAGTGCCAGTCTTCATTTAGTCTTATCTCTAGTTTGCTGAGAGGCCTGGCCAATAACAACATTCCTTTTGAATATGGGAGAGCTGTTGTCGTCATACACCGAGGAAGCCCAGCGAATGTTGACTGACTATACTTCCATGCAGATATCTTTCCTATGTATTTTCTTCCTCTTTTAGACTCGAGGCTCTCCTCTTCCGTGCTGCCTTACTGTACTAGGGAAATAAAGACACATGCATGTAGAAATCATTTCTGGCATCTGGGCCTCCGTCTCTCTTTAGGGCTCTGGAAAGAATTGTGACTTTGTAAATAGGACCTAGAACAAACAGAAAAGGAAAGCACTTCCTTTTAAACTGAGATATATTTTATACACATAGTCCTTTTAAGTAGAAGCCTGACAAGACCTATTCTAGTGAACAGAAAAAGATTTATTTGAGTGTTTCCATATATTAATTTTTAACTTGTGCTGTTTTAATAATTTTTTAAGCAAAAAAAAAATGACCTCTTCCTAGGCCTAGCACTCATGCCAATTTTTAAAACTTGATTTCATGAGATTTTACAATCCAGTGAGCTGAATTCATCAAATATTTCAATTCATTAGCTTGTAGAATTTAGGCCAACAATTTGATTTTTACCTTATTTTGTCCAGCAGGAAATTAATTTCATATTCTTAATGTATCATTTGAGTCACAATGTTTAGTTTCATAGCTTTTATAAAAATCTTACATTTTACCTGAAGTATTTTTTCCTCATAGTGGTTTCTTTTACATATGCAAGTTTTTATAATTAAAGAATACAATAGATAAAAGGAAAGGGTTAAAAATTTGAAAACCCAAAGAATTGTTTTGAAAAGAAAGATATTATTATCTAGTATGTGGATAAGAAGATTTCATTTGTTGTTTTCATTTCAGATTTTTCCTGTAGAGATAAGCTATTCATTTTTTCTATTTTGTAACATTTTCATATTTTCATTTATTTTGTCTTGGGAAGTTCATGGAATCAAAAGACCAATCACAGTTTGACAATTAAAATACTAGGGAAGGTAGGAAAAAACGAAACTGCATTGCATGGAAGAGAAGTGTACATTTTTAACAGTATTCTGCAGAATCAGTCTGGAAGTGTACTCCATTTGAGAATTGATTCAGGATGAGAAGAGGGGTAGAGAAGAAATATCGATGGTACTGTGTGAGTAACGGCCAAACGGAAGCAGGTGGTAAGAATGTGCAGGTTAGACGCAGAGACATGGTACCGCAGCAGAACCGGCTGCCCCGTAGACTTAGAGAGTAGCATAAATCATGTCTAGAGAAAGCGACATCTGAGCAAAGCATCTGGTCAAACTGGACGCTTTTTATTCTGCCAGCGACACTTAAGAGTGTTGCAGAATCTTGGCGGTATTTTGTAGCAGATAAGTTAACCTTTGTCAATTAACAGTCATATGACAATTATTTCACAAAATTTGCAGAAACAAGAAACAGTCGAGAAACTGGAGCAGCATACAGCTCACTTTGAAAATGATGGTAGTAAAGAGCGTGCAAGTGAAGAGACGTCCAGAACGGTGAAAGAGGGGAAAGTATATAGACAGCTGGTGGCAAAGGGAACGTACATGCTGCCAATACCTGGGACTGGGCGCGCGTTTTCATATGAGGACTTAGGTGAGGAGTGGGGCCAGCCGGGGCCTCAGGCTGACACCCATGCCGAGGGTGTGCGCAAAGAGATACTTAGATGTGAGAGCAAGCACAGTATTTACCCACCTGATGGCAGAGAGATAGAACGGAAAAGTGATGGAGGCAAAAGTCCGAAGGACTCAGAAACGGAAGAAGCAGTGTCTGAGAGAGGAGCTGAGCTGCCGGAAATGGCAGGTCTGAAGGATATGAGACAAAGTGAAGAGAGTTTAAGAAATATGAATATGTTCTTTGACGACTTACCAAATAGAGATGTGGATATTGAGGATGAAGAGAGTAAACGCTTTTTTAAGGACGTTAAGAGGAACATGCAAAATGTGATCTTTGACAGTGAAAGAGAATCTATACAGTCAGACAGTTACATGGAAGGAGAAAGTGAAAGTCAGCAAGGTATCACTGATGGCTCTGAGCAGCTCAAGTCAGTAGAATTTAGTAGCGGAGAGAAAGAGGATGATGAAGTGGAAACTGACCAAAACTTGTATAGCAGGAAATTTATTCAACAAAGATATGAGGAAGAGATTGAACACAGAATGTCCGCATTCTTCGCAAAATATAATTTTAACTTTGGGCACTTGTCAGATATCCCAGAGGAGCAGGAAAGCACAGAGGAGTCAGAAGGAAGTGAAATAGAGAAGCAAGAGGTAGATGCAAATGAGGAAAATGTGGAGGTGCACGAAGGAAAAGAGGAGAAGGAAATAGAGATCCTGTCAGACGACCTTACAGACAGAACTGAGGTGAGTGAGGGCAAGGGAAAGCCAGGGGGAGAGGTGGAGGAGGATGTGCCTGAAGCTGGAGGTGAGGGGGGAATCCAGCGGGAGGGAAATTCTGGAGTGGAACAGAGTCAGAGTGAGGAGGGGGAAGAGGAGGAAGACGAGGGAAGAGGAGAAACAGAGAGCCTGGATAAGGGAGAGAAAGACCCAGAAGAGGAGGAGGACCGGGACCGAAGGGAGAGGGAACAAGACCATAAAGGGACAGGGGAAGGGGAGGGGCAAAGAGATGAAAAGGAAGGGGAGGGGAGAGAAGGGGAAGAAGACAGGGAAGAGGAAGAAGAGAAAGAAGGCAAGGAGGAGGGAGAAAGGAAAGAGGAAGAAGCTCAAGAGGAAGGACAGGAAGAAGGGGAAGAAGAAGAGGAGGAGGAGGAAGGGGAAGGAGAGGGAGAAGCAGAGAAAGAGGAAGCAGAGGGGGAAGGGAAGGAAGGAGAAGGGGAAGGAGAGGGAGAAGCAGAGAAAGAAGAGGAAGAAGGGGTGGAGGAAGAGGGGGAAGGGGAAGAGGAAGGGGAGGAGGTTGGAGAGGAGGAAGGAGAGGAGGAAGGAAAGAAAAGAGAAAGTGAAGGGGAAGAAGAAGAGGGAGAAGTGGAGGAAGGAGAGGGAGAAGGAGAGGAAGAAGAAGTGGGGGAAGCAGGGGAGGAAGGAGAGGAGGAGGGGGAAGAGGATGAAGGAGAGGGTGGAGAGGAGGAAGGGGAGGGGG